GGCCGTAGTGCACAAACTACCACCTTGAAGCTATGTTCTCCCCACATGCATGGGGGTGGGTACATCTTAACGTGCCAGGAGGGGCAAGCAGCAGCTGTCCTACAGGTGGGAATAAGAATGTGCTTCAGGACCTGGACCACTGCCCTGCTGTGTGCACCCTGAACAGATGATTGTAGGGTAGGGCATGTTTCAATGAACTGTTACCCTTGAGCCTGCTCTGCTTGACCTGGAGATCAGGCCGCAGCTGTTCCATGCAGGCGAGCATTCCATGCAGGACCGGAATGTGGGTTAAGAAGTGGTCTCTGCATCCTGTTAATGGAATTGGCTCTGCAGCCAGGATGGAGTCTATAGGTGTTGGTGTCCTGTGTTTCCCAGCGGGGTGGCCAAGGCTAGCACAGAGCTGCCTTCCTTACAGTACTGACATGCAAAAGGGTCTCAGCCTCCTTCAAGCCCTGCCCATGTCACCCCAGACCAAGCGGCCTGGTCCTGCACCATCTCACCCCACGTGGTTTAGTCAAACATGCCATGTACCGAGCAGGCGAGGAGGGGCAGTAGACCTCCAGCTCCCTGGTGTGAACAAGAATTGGTACCTTCAGACACTGCCTCTACCAAGGCTAGTAGCCTTCTTGTTCTGACTGTTGCCATAGGAACAAAGGCAGAGGCAATAACTTGCTCTTGTTTTAAATCTTTGTTTGCTCTCAGGGCTGCAAACAAGCTGAGAAGAACCTGGGGACCCTGGGTTTGACAGGCAGAGCCCAGCAGCAGGGCAGGGCTGGTTGCTGGGTGCCCATCACAGGCACCTGTTCAGCTACTACTCCAGGGGCAGCTATTTCTGTGCTTCCCCCCACCCCCTCAGGAAGTGCCTAGGGCTGCCCCAGTCACCTCCTGGCCCTCCCTGGTTATGCTACTGGGGTTCAATGCCCTGGTACTGGGCTGTGCTGGGGCAGGGGCTGAGCTGAGGTTCTTGAGTCCAAGCTGCCTGGAGCCGGTTCCCTTCCCCAGCACCAGAGGCCCATAGCAGCACTGAGCTGACCCCACCATGCCCAAAGTTTACAGCATCCAGCCCCTTCCCCCTGACCATGTGTGCTAGGAGTCAAGTGCCACTGCCTTTGGGAGGAGATGCGCAATAGATACCTGCCCCCAACTTCTCAGCCACATCGTTTACCAGCCCACTGCACTCCAGCAGCAGTTATCAGACAAGGGGTAAAGGGGTTAAATGGCCAAAATCAGAGGATGCTCTGGAGCCCCCACTTGCAGGGGTAGGGCCTTGTGAGCCAGCACAGACCCCAGAGGAGGCTGCACCTGGCCCAGCCAGCCTGCATCGCTGCGGCTGTTCCAGCCAGGGCCTGTGCCTGGTACAGGCGGTACTTTTCTAATGGTTTGAGTGCTGACAGAAGTCACCCATAGGCTGGGGACACTGCACAACAGCCAACAGTGCAGAAGCTGCTGGACTGCCTTGCACAAGGGGACCAGGTGTGGGGAACGGGCAAGGCAATGTTCCTTCCCTCTACCTCCCCTGCCCATAGTGCTGAGAGCAGGGGATAATGCTCCTGTTGTGAAATCCAAGACCCACCATGCAGGGAACTTCTGCTCCAACCAACCCCTCTTGTGAAACCAAGACCTAGCAGGTGGGGGGAGGGAATGGGAAGGGGGACCAATATTAATCCAATCAGATCCTCACTGAGCACACACAGCTCCCACCACCACAAGGAGACACTCACACGACATCCCCTACAGCCCTTGCCTGTGGGAGACGGTTGCAGGGAAAAGAACCACAGAACAACCTGCCTCCAGGGCCAGGGCTGGGATGAAAGCCCCAGAACATGCACAGAGCAGGTCAGTGGGCCAGGCAGCACCTGGACCCCCACCCCTGTGCAGGGGCAGTGCCAACAGCCACTCGGCCACCTGGCGTTTACTGCCAACTTTTTCAAGACCTCAGCCCGTCTGATCTGGACTCCGTGGAAGCGTGCCTCTGCCCACGTTCCAGCTCAGCTGTACGCAGGCGGCCACATGTGGCAGGTCCAAACCTACTTAGAGTGTTTTATAACACATGCTTTTTTTTTATATATATTATATGTATATAAAACCAAATTGTCACCCTGGCAATTTCCAAGCATATACAGACAAATCCAACTATACAACACGAGGGGGTGCCAAAGGGAAAAAAACCTATATTCACAGACTCCACAGCCCCTGCAGAAATGCCTCACTCCGACAAAACTAGGAGGACGCCCGCTCAGAGAACATCTCTTGCCTAAGGGAGCCCAGAAACCCTAGTGTCATCATCACTTCCAGCATGGAAATGGCTGGTGGAGCAGGAGGGGGAAATGAAGGGGGATGCCTGGGGTAGCACGTGGGTTTGAGGAGTCCGCAGTTTCCATCAATAGAAACCCTGTCTGCTGAAAGAAGAAAGGTCTCTGTCCAGTTGCCAGGAGAATTAGCAAGTGAAGGGGACACAATCTGCTCCCAGCTCCTTGGCTCCCATCCTCCTCTACTGTTCATAGAAAGAGAACGCACACCTTTAGCTTCGTTACTGGTACACTCATGAGACACCCTGCAGCTCCCAGCTGTCTCACTCGAAAAGTTTCCTTTTTTCTCTGCTTGCTGAGCAAGGTCCTACATTCGTCCTCCCACTCTGATACATTCAAGATTTGCTCTCTGCAAGGACCACGCTCAACCTCCAGCTGTTACTTGTAGTTATAGCATCCCACAGGCCCAAAGGCCGCATACAAAGTTCATGCCCTGGTACCGACAGAAAACTTTCTCTTTGCGGCAGCACCTAGACAGAGCAACTCCCCAGAAACCATGCAGGCAGCCTCCAAAGAACCCCAAAAAGCTCACAAGAGCCAAGGTGTCCAGCCTGCCAGGCACTCATCTAGCTATGGTGAGAACAGGAAACCTGTGGGGATGGGGGAGGAGGGAGGGGGCAGGGGAGTGCGGGGGTAAATTTATCCTGCCCAGTAACTGCCCTGTCCCCAAGGGTTTCATGGATACACAGCCCCAGCAACTCTGCTTTCTTAAAGCAGGTCCCCCACACAACATTCAGAGCATGCGGCTATGTTACAAAGTGCCCAGACTCCTGGGTTCCCTGCATGCCAGATGCACGCTGCGTGCAGGACACAGTCACAGGGGCATGAGCAATGGAAAGGGTTGGTGAACCAGACATGCAGCCCAAAGTCACACAGCTGACTAGAGAAAGAGGTCTCTGCCAAGGACAGGAGCCGAGATCCTTTCGTAAGAAGAATGAGTGGGGAGAAAGAAGAAGCCATCAGCGGTTGTCATTAATACAAAGAGTTAAAAGTAGTAGCCCTAAAACCAGATGTTAGTAAAAACAGAAAACATGAGATCCTTGCAGAGAGAACAGAACCGGCTCTAAGAGGAACGGGGGGGCTGCTGGGGCCACTACGGCCTTCAAGAGTGTCCCGGGGGTACCGGGGCACAGGGGAGCTGCTGCTGCTCACAGGACTTGAAAGTCAGTTCTGTTGGGTCTCAGGAAGAAGCCTGGTGCCTTTGGATGAGAGGTGAAGGAGCCAGAGCACAGGCCTGGGGCCCCTCCCCCATCATCCATCAGCTTCTTGGCCAGGGTGACTGTGGCACAAGAAACAAGAAGAAGAAACTGGATTAGATCTAAATTGCTACCAGCATCCCTCCCCCTGACCCCCACAGCCCCAAGACATCCCCCCCAGAAGGCAAACACCTTCCTTTCCTCTCCTGCATGGGGTTCAGTTCCCAGCATGTCTGCAGCACCCAGTGTCCACAGCTGGGGGCAGCAGGCCCCAGAGAACTGCTGCTGCAGGAAACCAAAGGAGAGGAGTGGTCTGGTGCAGCACAGGGGGGATGCTTTGGGTGGTGGGATGGGGCAGGCCTCATGGTATGGCTGGGGGGAACAGGCACCAGGCTTGTTCTTTGCAGTTAGACAGGAGAAGCCCTAACCCACCCAGGAATCAAACCCATGTTTTGCAAGGGGTTTGTTTCTGAAGGTGGCTAACCTCAGCTGGGAAAGGAGGGGACTGAACCCAACGCAGTGACTGGTTTTGAAGTCCTGGAGCTGGAGCAAAATGAATAATAAAAGCAGGTTAAATCCTTAACCAGTTAGGGGGTGGGGGAAGCAGCTGTAAAAGGAACAGAGGAAGAAGGCCAGATTTTTCTTTTCTCTCCACCCACAGCAACGCAATCACAAGCCCTGCTTGGCCAGGGAAGCAGACACTTCATCGGCTAATGTCGAAAGCTGGGGGGAGTCCACCATATTGATGCTGCCAGAGGAGGAAACATTGCTAAGGCGACGGGGGGAGGCATCTCCAGAGATGGTGGGGGACTTGTAGACAATTTCAGCTCCGTGGTCAGTCTTGGCTTTGGCATTCTCACGGAAGGTCAGCTTGTGAGTCTCGATCTGCAACGGGAAGATGTGCACAGTGAGCGGAGGGAGACTTGGCCTATTGCCCATGGGTTGGACTTAGAGGGAGGGGGGGACTTTTTAAACAGTGAAGCTGGTTAATTCAGTCAACCCAGGCCCTCCCAAGGGGGTATAGCTAGGAGCAAGGGAGGAGATTAGAACCAAGGGAAACCCAGTGCTTCCTACCCCTTTTCCAGCACTGTTGCAGGCAGAGAGGCTCTGAGAATCAATCTGTTCACAGACTGATGGCCCAGAGGGTAGCATCGTATGGGGGCAGGTGCAAGAGGGACCTGCCTTTGCTCAGCAGTCTGAACACCTTCCCTGTCCACATAGAGCAAACATTTACGACTGCATGATCCAGCTGAGAGTGCAGATACCAAGGCTCAGGAGACCGCTCCTTCAGGGAGCCTGGGGCGTCCATGAACCGGACACCCTTTGCTCCTGTGAAGCATGAGCTCCAAGGTGGAAGTTGACAGGGAGCTACTTACTGGGATTTTTCTCCTCCTCCTCCTCTGGGACCTGGCTCTCCTCAGGCATGGAGGGCTCAGGGGCCAGGGACTGAAGCACGGCACAGTCTGGACTGTGCATCACACCACTGCGGGCTCCGCTCTCGTCTTCCTTCCCCTCCTTTCTCTACAGGTGAAGAAATCAGCAGGGCGCAAAATGCATCACATCAGCAACAGGATCTGACTGGATTGACCTCAACCCAAACCCAAATGGAGGTGGGAGGGAGGGGAGAGGAACAAAATGCCCCAATGGGAAAACCCAGTGGGCCCACAGCAGGGGGAGAGAGAGACAGAGAGAGAGAGACAGAGAGAGAAGGAGAGTGCAGAGAGCCTTTGCAGTGAGGAGGAGGAAGAATGGCTTTCCCTTCGGGCATGAGAAAGGAGATACCAGAAGGCAAGATCCGAAGCAGGTCCCAAGTGCAGAAGGGCGACAGCCACACCAGCTGCATTCAGAGCAATGCTAGCTCTGGTTCACAACAGGGCTGTACCACTCTGGAACGCACCTGCCAGCCAGCATCCTTGCTGATAGAGGGCCAGCCACATGGTGTGCTGGCTCGGTGCTGGCTGCTGGCAGGGCGGTGTTCAGCCAATGCCGGCTGTGATGATGGGGTTTGGCCACAAGGCCATTCTGTAAAGCACAAAGCAGGTCTGAGATGAAAGACGGACAGGATGTGCAGTGGCAAGCGAGTAGAAATCTGCAATCTCTTTCACTGGGAGAGATTTTTGCATACCTGGCAACCTTGTAGAGAGCCCGGGGAAGACGGTACTACCCTGACAGGAGCACTTGGTCTGTGTGGATATGTGGCCAGAGGATGCCATGGTTTGAATAACCACCTGCTCCCAGAAAAACCAGCAGCCTCTGAGGCCACATGCATGAAGAAGCAGGCTCCAAGCTGCTCTGCCTGTAGGCTACAACGGGCAGTTTGATGTGGCCTTGCAAACTCGCCCACACAGAGCTGACCTGCTCAGAGACGTGCAGGAAGACTGAAGGCTGCCCAAGCACCCCTATGGGGACAAGGGGGGAATGCTACTTGCTGGGATTTGTGCTGACAGATAGTGGCTCCGTGCACATGGGTGAGAACAGTGGTGGGACACATGGGAGACTGCTACAGGGTGCATCTGGCCTGGACAGAGCACATGCAAACCTAAGTGACCAAAAGCAAAAAATTCCAGCATCAGGGAGACACGACTGGACCAACCCCCATGACAGAAGTTCCCTCCTGGGCATGCAAGTGACAGCCGCGTAGAAGGCAGGGAGTCACACTCTTAGAGTCTGTATGCAACTTTTGAGCATGGGGCTTCCAAGCCCCTCTCTAAAAGCCAAGGTCTTCAAGCCAGACATGGCACAAGGACGAAGAAAGAGCAGAGAAGGGAGCTCAACAGAGGGAGCAGCAGAGTGGCACAGGGCAGGCTTATGATCATGGCTGCGAGGGATGGGGGAGGAAGCCAGAAACTCCTCTGTCAGAGGGGCTGGGGAGCTCACTGGAAGATGCCAAGAAAGATGCTGGAAAACATTTGCATGATGTTTAGAAAGCTCTGAACCAAGTGCTGAAGAACAGGACTTGAAGCAGAACCAACCTCTCCTTGAAGCAATGCTGAACCACCAGGGACACCAATAACCTTCCCTTGGATCACTTTAGTGCAACAATACAACCATCTGTGCCACTGTCCCAAGCACCCCCGTCACCACTGCCCCACGCTGGCAGGATTCTCTGCTGTGCTTTCTTCAGTCTCAGCTGGTGAGTGGGTGCATGGCATTGATGGGGTCATAGCACCATAACCCAAGAGGATGGCTTCAAATAGCGTTTAGTTTTTAAATAATACAGGATCAGTGGCATCTCAAATTAAAGCATCTTCTTCAGGACTCTGATTTAATGAGGAATGTCCTTTATTCCTTCAAGACCTGCAGTCACTATTTAAGCACGTCTCCAGATACTTTTAAAATGCTGCTTGCTATCATGGGCAGTCTGCCCAGCTTGACAGTCAATTAGACTAACTACATCTGTATTTGATCTGCAGCCTCAAGGTAGTGTAGGTACACACAGGCTGCACCCTTCATGGGACACTGAGGAAGCCACTCTGCACCCTGCTCCGCTGGACCACTGAATGGCAGGTAAAGCAGATACTGAGATGGTCCAAATGCTCCAAATGCTCTGCCAGTCAAGGGAACTGCTATAAAAAAAAGGACGTGATGTCTGCCATTCCAACATGTTCTATGGCACAGTTCTGGAAATGTTAGGCCCAGAGACAACACAGCTCTTCTGCACAACTGCCTGAGCAATCTAACTAAAGGCCACAGAACTGCTGGCCTGCTTAAAGATAAGCTTGGACGTAGAGCACTCCGTTTAACAAGAATTCAGTCATTAATCATGCCCACCTCCGCCTGCTGAATGGCCAAACCCACCACTCAAAGTGAAACGTTTCTCTATGCTGAGTTTGCTTTCTGCAAGTATAGCACTAAGTTACCACACACACACACCATGCTGTCTGATGTCTTGCAGCGCCACAGCTCAGCTGTTTTGCCTGGTGGCAGGAAGAGACCTTGTCTCTGAAATGCTGGCTCACCTGCAAAGCTGTCCTTCTAGAGAAAGCCCCAAATGCACATGGCTGGGTTTGTAACCATGGCTCCACATGGAGTGTGTGTGTGTAAGGGGTGGCTCCTTACTGCACATGCTGTAGCACTTTTGGATTCTTTTAACACGTGTAGGAGACCATCTCAGGCAGAAGGTCTGCATCCATCTTAAGCAACGTGCTTCTGTGACCTGAAGTCCAACTGACTTGGGCAGAGGGCTGAGGCCATGGGGTTGAGCAGGAGCCCCACTTTCTAAGGATGACATCCTTTAAACCCTGATCTCTAATGGGCAGCAGCAGCAGTGCTCAGCTTGGACACTGGCCTGTTTTAGCAGCTGCACACACTTGTTTGTGATGCTGTGAATGGAGAGAAGGCAAGGCAACCAGCAGAACCTCACTTTCAGAGAAGAGGAGGCCTCGGTGCAACAGGGGCTGGATGTGCGGAGCTGTTACAGCAACGGCTAGCCCCAGACTTGAGGGGGCACAGAGCACAGGGCCTTGCAAGGACTGGGAGAACACTCCGTCCTGGGCAGCATCCTACCTTTTTATTGCCCCCTCCAGGAACATGGGTGATGTTGTCTAATGACCCAATTTTTGAATGCACCTTTTCTTTGAAGTCCAGTTTCTCAGACTTCACCTCTACCTGGCCACCACCTGGAAAAGAAAGCAAAACATGAATGGCTGCCAGGAGGTGACAGCTAGTGGTCTGGGTCTGCATTCGTGGCCTCTGTGGGCCTCACATGTGTAACATGGCATGACTGCCTGAAGTCTGCTGCATGTTGTGCACTGGGGCTGCAACCTTGGGACAAGGCTGGGAGCCCATAATCCAACTGACAACTGCATGCACTGAATCACTGGTAGCATGTGCAAAGTCCATGCTCTCCCAGGTAAGTGGCCACGTAATCCTCTTCTGCAACTTCTCATGATGGCAGCCCTTAAAGGCGTTACATCAAGGTCAGCACTGCTGCACTCAGGGCTGTAAACACACAGAACAGCCAACTTTACCTCCCCTCCTTCCCCTCAACACTTGCAACCTAAACAAATGACATGATGCAACAACCTCTTTTGGGAGAGCCCCTGGAATATCCCCTGGGCACTAAGAAGTCAGGAGCAATACCTGGTTTATGATGAATGTTGCCCAAGGAACCACATTTGGATGTTACATGGCTCAGGTCTACTGGCTTGTAAACAATTTGCACCTGGTCATACAAAAAAGGAAAAGGACATGCAATTTTTAGCACCCCCAATGATTTTTTAACAAAAGGGGAGAGGGGGTAAAAAACACCGGAACCTGATCTGTATTTGAGACAAAGCAGTTTAGACTCCCAGCTTATTAATACACCAGCAATTACAGAAGTTGCCACCAGAAACTGTGAAATCGTTAAAACCCATGTGCAGTAACCTGTCTAAAATGTCAGCATGCATAAGATCACCTCTCCCGGGAGGGGGAAAGGAGAGGCAGTTTAATAAAGCGCTTCAGTGAAAAGAAAAAAAGTGGAATGCTGATTAATCAAGTTTCACATTATAAAAATCATTCCAAAGAGAAAGACTAGAGAGAAATGTAAAAAATAAATAAATAAATACCTTTGCTGATGTAAAACTTAAACTCTATGTCCTCAAAAACTGAAAGAATAGAAATGGTCAATGGGCACAGCATTTTTTTAAAAATGACTGTAATATGCATTTCTGAAAATGCGGAAATGGAATTAAAGGGCTTGTTTGTTTTAAAATAATACAAATAGTAAATACAGTGCAGGAAAACATATATTCAAGTGATCGCTCTAATGCAGGACATTAAAACAGTAGCATGCATTATTATTTAAAATAACTTTTTAAAAAATGTTACGTGTCTGAATACAACATCTAACCATTTCATTTAAACCACCAAGTTCCAAGATTTCTCATCACATGACACTGAGTGTCTGGAGTTTTTTGGACATGTGGTATCAGCCTTTGGAAATGTGAACTGGTTATGCAAGACTGTTGCAATACACACAAAATGGACAGTTAGACTGAAGCTTGCTTAGCAGTTAAACTGCGAGCTAAATGCCACAGTTGAAAACATGGAACAAGCTGGTAACAGGTTATACTTTAGATGATCTGGGACAGTGAGGAATCTGAGCACACACATACACACACCAGTGACATTAGGAGCAGAATACAGGAGGGAAAGGCACCATCTCCGAGTTGCTTTAAACCAGGTACTTGTTGGCAACACGACTGCGTAACACCAGCACGAGGAAGGCTCGGCTGGCAGCTAGTTATTCTGGACCTGAAAGTTACTGGACCATCAGATCTTATGAGCCCAGTCCTTACTCACCAGGAAAACTGTGCCTCCAAAAACAAAATACATCTAAAAACTAAATACCGAGTCCCTCCATTCTGGGAGGGTAAGAGGCTGGTCTGCTATCTGCATAAAGTCACTCCTCCTGGAAACAGGCGTGGGGGCTCCAAAGCTGCAGGTGCTGGCTTGACAGTTCAAGCACCAAGCAGGTGCTTGTCACACAGGGAGGATGAGTCTTGGCTTCGGATGCTGTGGACTGAACATGCTTCCCCTAGTCTTTCACTCAACCATCTCCAGAAGAGCACAGCTCACTGCATGGTCACAGAGGACCCCATTTCAGCTTTGCTGCCATTTCCAATTCCCACCTGGAAAGTCTCTTTTCAGTCAAAAAAAGTGCTCAAGATTCATTCTGAGCCAGGTCTGAAAGCAGTGCACACGTGGCCCCTTGGCAGGCATCAGCCTTATGGTGAAACATTTAACCCACAACTTATATTTTTAGATGCCGGAAGACTGACATCCTCACCCACTGAATACCTGAGCTCTGGTTAATTAAAGCTAGCGTGTCACAACTCCTGGCAGCTAACAACACAGAGTCAGAGCAAGACACATCTGAGTACGCAGTTCTTGCATGCAAATACCAAAGGGCACATCTCACATGCAAGGGAGAGAGAAAATGGAGGAGAAGAACATCCTGGGATTTGGCTTCACAGGGGAGAGCACTGGGAATGAGCACGCAGACAGGAAAAATTGTTCTTTTAACCCACATACAGATTTACAGCTGAACTCTGTCCAACAAGGCAAGGAACAGGAGACTCAAGGCACAGGAGACACTGTCGTACCCAGAGCTCCCCTATGCCTCCCAGGAACACACCACTGCTTTCAGCTGGAACCAAAAGCCACATGATAAAAGCCTGACTCAGACATTTGTGAGCTATAGGGAATGATTTCAGAGCCAGACTTGGCATCCTCCGTGCTGGCCACCTTCAAAGCAATGTGCAAACAGCACTTCTCTGCCTTTCTCTTGGCACCTTCTACAGATCTTAAGTGGTAGAGGGGAGGACAACGGACACATGGAGAGATGTGCCAGAGCCATGGGTGACTGGTGCATCCCAAGTCTGGGGAGGCACTAGATCGCTGACAAGGGCGGGGGGGGGTTGTCCCCCTGCAGCCGATCGCTGACTGGGGAGCAGGGGATCCCCCTGCGGCTGATCATTGAGCGCAGAACCACCAGCACTTCCAGTTTCATGGCGGGTGCTTCCATGGGGCGCGCAGCCAATCTCAGGGGGTGCACATGCACCCCCTACACATCACCAATGGCCTGAACCCAGCTTTCAGGGGCAGGACTCCTTCCCTTGATGCCTCTTGCTGGGGAAGCAATGTTAGAGGGTCATTCTGCACTGCCTGCCCTGTCAGCTTAAAGGAAAAAGTATGTTGCTGTAGCAACAGCTCATTTTCCACTCACTAGCTGTGTTCTCATGGGTGAGGAGCAGGAATTCACTTGCCTGCATTAGACTTAATTGGAAGCCAGGAAACAGGGTGCATGGGACAAGTGCTGGCCTCTGACAAAAAACATGGTGGCAGCATGTAAAAGCCAGCCAAAGATCACACTGGGCCCCAGGACTGAGAATGTGCAGCCCCCATCCCCCTTTCCAAAGCAGGCAGGAGACTAATTTCAGGGAGTGTTTTGACCTCTGATGGGCCAGCGCTTTTGGCCACTAAAAACAGACAAATGGCAACCTATTTAACCATCCAGTGGCAAGCCCAGTTGTGTTTCAAAGGCTTAAGTGACTGACCCTGCAGAATGCCTAAGGGAAATGTAAAACAAAAAGGGAAGTACATTTGTTTGAAAAGACTGAGGGCCTACTGCTGAGTGCAGGACAGCTCCCAGATGCTGGTCACACAGGGCAGGGTGGGCCCACCTCTCTTGGGACATGCTGGTGACCATTTCTGTGATACGCTTGCACTTGGGTCTGTCATCTTCTCTCTGAGGGCTAAATCCTGCTTTCAGAGACACTGATGTAAGCTCCCTGATTTTAGAAGAAATGCTTCTGATTTCTGGTGGTGTAACTGAGAGATGAATTTGGCTACTTCGGATTAAAAAGGGAAGCAGAAACATTGCCTGGACCTGTAGAGAGCAATAAACTTCTACATCCAAATCTGTGAGTCCAGCAATGCTTTGTGACCAACTCCTGTAAGCACCTGCCTAAAGCATGCTGGAGGGATATTCCATGAAGGGACCATGCAATCCATGGATTATACCTGCTTCAGTGTGTAATCAAAATCTGGTTGGGGACTGGCCCTTCATGTCTGATGCAATATCAGCAGG